TAAGGTTCAATTTCAGAATTTTAAAAAAGCAAGGAAAAAATCAAATCTAGCTCGCGAACCCAACCAAAAACCTGGGAACAATCAGAAGATAGGAACATGTCTGATGAAGAGCTGATCGTCAAGTAACAAAGTAAATAAAGCAAAGTACTTCAATTTAAAAAATGGAATTAGAAAGTTTCGAAGGAAAGATGCAAACGCAAGCTGCCACCAAAACAATCGTTACGTTCTATCGGATAATTAATTTTTTAGTTATTAATGTAGAAATGAATAATTTCCAGGGTGGTTTTTTCAACGTTAATATTTCTCATGAATTATTTGACGAAGCATATTGGCAGCTGAGCTGACAACCGAAAGATGAGATTCCAATCTGGAAAGGGATTGTTTGGTTTCCTTGCTTATGAGAGACTAAAAGATTATGAGAGAAGAAAGCAAACTGTTGTCTACATAGCTGCAGATTTGTTGGTTGCACTTTTGGCTCATTACCATATTGAATAAGCAGATACAGATGAGTCAAAACAAACTGCAGCCCTATGGTGCGCTTGCATCAGACAAAAAGGCCGAACTTCTGGTCCATTACGGTGTGACCCCACCAAAAATCATGCTTTTTTGTTATTCACAAGTCAATGACTTGCTAACCGTTTTTGGTTCAACCGAAGCAGGGTGAGGTGAATTCCGCCTTTAAGGGAATTAACGGGACTCAAACCCTGCACCTCCGATTTCGAAACTGCCCTCTCTGTCACGATGCCACTGCACCCAAAATGTCCACTATGCATGAATCTCGAGATGACATCATTGTGAAGGATCGTGAGAAAGGTACGAGGAATCGAACCTGATATTGAAAAGAATCGACTCCCGTATGGCTACAATCATTCGTTTCTCTGTACCTTTTATTGGCAGGGACATATTAAATGAGTTGTGACAAAGAACAACACTTCAGCCGCAAGCAAAAAACAAGCAAAGCGACAGGTTATACTGACTTCCACGGTAAAAAAATCTGCCAATCATTCTGTCATTGTTGTTACGGCAGCTCAATTACAGATGTCGCCACATGCCACTGGTGTACACTTTGCTTTTTTCTAAAGAAAGCTTAAACAATCTCAGCGTATACTAAAAAATGAGCTCCGAAATCCGACCAATCTACGATCAACTGCTGAAGACTTCAACAGATCTGAGAAGGCTTCATAAAAAAAGAAGTTACAAGCAAATATCTACCTGATTAACAATAAAATATAAGTACGACGATGCGTTATTAGCGCAGCACACAAACCCTAGTTTTTCAGCTGTATTTGGCAGTGCTTAACAAATATCAGATATGTCATTTCAACAAGGTCAAATAGCAGTGGTCTCAATGGCCATACTTTTCAAATTCAGTTAAGTCTGGGACGGCAAAAACAATACCAACGTCCTACTATCAATATTTTATCAAACAACAAGCACGAGTCGCAAGAACCCGCTATAATGCCAAAGAAATGCACAGAAGGCACAATTTAGTTTAATTTCGTCCCTATGCCATACTGTTTTGTTTGCTTCTTTATATCTGTACAACCATTTCGAAATTGCTACTTACTTACTCTACACCAATTGAACCGTACGATACCATACAACAGTAATCCATATGTTCGTCAAGCAGCTTACCAATTTGACTGCTGTTTCAAATATTTCTGGTGAACGTTTATTCAGATCGTCTGCAGCCTGCCGCTCTAGATGAAAATTGTGATCCATCCTGTAAGTCTATGCTACTGAACAAACCTAAAATAACCAACACATGCACAACCGGCCAAAAATACATTTTACAAGCGCGTCAGCATGGAAGTACACTTTCCAAAGAAATAAAGATTATCACAGGTTCGACACATAGAGTTAATCGTATTCAGCAAGCAAAGGAAAGAAAACAATTATGAATTTATAAAATCAAATTTAGGAAAGTAACTTCTATGCATATAATAATGCGAATCACTCCCTACCCTACAAAGTAACGAATACAAGTTTTGACTGCTGAGAATTGTGTTTTCCAACTTACCTGCAGATCAGTAGCTTTTTCGACCATACTAAAATAATAGAATTAAATTTATTGCAATTTTTGTCATAAAAGACCAAACATATAACATAATAACCATAGACGCATTTACTGTTTACGTATAAGTAATCATTGTATCAAAATGCATGAATCATTTAATCAACAGAACTGCGTTCGTTACAGCAACTATCAGCAATAGACGGTCAAAACGATTCAAATGATTTTTTTTACATAATTCTGAGTTTAAAAGTCAATTTTGTACATGATTCTAGAACTCATGGTCTAACAACTTGCAGCAACTTTATGACAAATGCTAAGAAAAGCACTATCTAAAGCAATTCAAATCGTATCACAGAAACAATAAAGTAAATACCAAAAATAATAATTAGCGAGTAAACAAACTGAGCAAATGATCAAACAATTGCAGAAAAGAAATTTGTGCGATACTAAAATATTACTTCTAAAAACACTATCCATTAAACAGAATGAAACTGACGGCTTTACCCATCAACTTGCATCATGAGAATTCAAAAGAAATACAGTCAAAACCACTAGAAAATCAAGTAACATTCTGGAGTACACCCCTTTCTGTAAGAAACTCGCCATCAAATATGTTGTCATTTCTCTTTTACCGCTCTACTTAAGGATAACAATTTACCTTCAGTGTTCCTGGTCATAATATTAAAGACAAAAATACAGAAAAAAGAAACGTGTCCAGCTATTTTATAGCTTGATAATAGTACGCAGTACTTGATAATTAGTATCACGCAAAGCACCAATTTTACATTAAAGGTTTCAAAAATTGGTTTATTTAAAAATATTTAAAAATTTTTGTTTGATTGTTACAATGACTTAATTTTGATCCAGACTATTCGGAAGTGCTACTGAATCATGCGCGATATTCACAATCATTTGCAAGTCAAAAAGGAGTTACCTTCATGCAAGGTAACCTTCATCTTAACCTTCCATCGTCGCTTCTCCATTCCAGTCGCAAAGACAGACGGGTCCGACAGAGCTTTCAACGTTCCTGATTATGGCCAAAGACTGAGCTTCGGCAGAACAGAACTGGAGACTAGAACAGCCTCATTCCATACATTTGCACCAGGTCGTCCTATTGGCCG